AGTCAGCGCGAGGGAGTTGACTTCTTTCAGACCTTCGCGCCTACCCCGAAGATGACCACTCTTCGGGTGTTACTGCACGTAGCAGCACATAGAGACTACGAGTTACACGACTTCTCCACTGCTTTCCTTCAGGGTAGCTTACACGAGGAGGTCTGGCTGCGTCGTCCCTCCACCTTCACTTACACTTTCCCTCCTGGGACCCAGTGGAGGCTGAGGCGACCTGTCTACGGTCTTCGTCAGGCTCCTCGTGAGTGGCACGGCACTCTTTGTTCTAACCTCTCTGACCTTGGGTTCCAGCCGTCTTCTGCCGACCCGTCGCTGTTCGTTCGTCGTGGCTCCACACCGTTCTTTGTTGTAGTCTACGTCGATGACCTGGTTTTTGCCACTGCTGAAAGGGTTGCCTTGGTAGACGTGAAGTCCGAACTGCAGAAGAGACACACATGGACTGACCTTGGTGAGTTGCGCCACTACCTTGGCCTGCAGATCACCAGGGACAGAGCTGCTCGCACCATTACACTCTCACAGTCACACATGGTGCAGCAGGTCCTTCAGCGGTTCAAGCTTCAGCACTCCACAGTACAGCGCACACCTCTTGCTGTTGACCACAGACTTACCGGACCTTTTCCTGACGAGCCGTTTGAGTCTAGTGGTCCCTACGCAAAGCTGGTGGGCTGCCTCATGTACCTGATGACTTGCACTCGCCCGGACCTCGCCTTCCCTCTCAGCATCCTTGCTCGCTTTGTTGCGCCAGGGAGACACCGTCCTGTTCACTGGATGGCAGCTGTGAGGTTGGCGAAGTACCTAGCGACGACATCAGGCGTGGGGCTAGTTCTTGGAGGGCAGCAGCCTGTCGTACTTACTGGTCATTGTGACTCTTCTTACGCTGACGACACTGAGACTCATAGGTCTACTCAGGGGTACTGTTTCAGCTTGGGTTCTGGAGCTGTTTCGTGGCGGTCCACGCGCTCCTCTTCGGTCTCGACCTCTACAGCTGAGGCTGAGATCTACGCTGGTGCCATGGCGGCACAGGAGCTGCGTTGGTTGACCTTCTTGCTCGCCGACCTTGGTGAGCGGCCGAGCTCTGCACCGACCTTGTTCACTGTCAACAAGGCGTCGATTCTCCTTTGTCGAGAGCCGCGACTGGAGAGCAGAGTGAAGCACATTAACGTCAGGTACTTTTTTCTGCGAGAGTTGCAGAGACGTGGACATGCTCACTTCGAGTTTGTGGAGTCCGAGGCCAACACTGCAGACATCTTCACCAAGGCGCTTCCGCCTTGTGACCACCAGAGGTGTTGTGTGCAGTTAGGCCTTGTTGACACAGTTTCTAGTCGTGTATAGGCTTGAGTCTACTGTTTGCTTTGCTTGCACTCTTGCTATACACACTTGTGAACTCTTGAACTGGCCTTGTGGCCCCTGTTGCTTGTGCTCAGAGTGTGTGGTGACGTTGTGATCCACCCTGAGTTTTGTTTCTTTGTGACTGGTCTTGTGACCGTACACTTTTGGTTTTGCTTGACACCCCTCACTTAGGCTATGGGGGTGTGTCAAATGTTGTAGCCTGTAGTGAGGTTTGTCTTAGGGGGTACAGATGTTAGGGTTTGTTATATGTAACCCAACCCACATCAATGAACCAACACTTTCATTCTTGACACAATACAGAGTTAAAGCATGAGTACTTTTTGTTAGACCAACTATCATCAAGCGGAAAAGGAATCCTACAAACACCATATCAGCAGTAAAGACGGTGCCATGCAAAGCAGGTGAATCAGACAAGAAGGCACCATTAGAGGCTCCACCCCACGCCTACCAGCAAGCGCCGATGGCACTAACAATGGGCGGCTGTTGATACGGCAACCGGCACAAACAACAAACAGAGGTGCGAGCATTGAAGACACATTGCAGAAGCATCTGACACTCTCACACTTGGACACCCATTGTGAGAAGACCATTACACACTAGCCAACTCCTGTTAGCACTCAGACAAGCACACTAATATGCGCAGCACACTTTTTAACGGCCCCAAAGGCACTCACAAAGAAAATACCATTTCAACCCCCAGGCCTACGAGCATGAGGTGGATGCAGAGTGTGGAGCTGATGTCGACACAAACAGTATCACTAACGGTGCTTGAAGTGACACGAGGCACTAGCGCTCAGACAGAAAGAGACTCACAGGGGGAAGACCGTTTCCACCCCACCTCCTGCGAGCATGCGGCGAATGAAAATGTGGAATACCACCACAAGCAGTAGCTGGCGGTGCTACAAGTGACTCAAGGCACGAACGTTCAGGCAGCTCGAGACTCACAGAAAAAGACCATCTCGACGACCGCGCCTGCCAGCATGTGGTGTATGCAGAACGCCACCATACCACCACAAACAGTACCTAAGGGTGCTTAACATGACGCACGGCACTGATGGTCTCTGACATTCACATAGGGAAGGACATCTCGCCGTCCACGCCTGCCAGCATGTGGTGTATGCAGAACATAAATAATGATGTGGAGCTGATGTTGGCGTTCCTGCGAGCGAAGCGATCCCTTTTACTGTCGATGGGAGCTACTTGTTCTCGGGGACCTCTTGGGAGAGAAAGTTAGAGAGTGAAGGGGGACAGTAGGAGAAAGAAGGAAGGGGGAAAGGAGGAGAAAGAAGGAACGTGGAGCCAATAATGGCATTTCTGCAAGCGACAACAATCCCTCTCACTATTGATGTGAGCCGCTTGTTCTCGGGGACCTCCTGGGAGAGAGGGAAAGAGGACAAGAGGGGGTGAGTGGGAGGGATGGAGGGGGGGGGGGGAGGGGGGGTGTGAAGAGGAAGAGGAGGAAAAGGGAATTTGAAGCTGATGTCGGCATTCCTGCGAGCGATAACGATGCCCTTGACTATTGACGTGGCAAAGCCATGTCAAGAGAAAACAGAGGAGGTTGGGATGGGGGACGAACGGTTTCTCGTGGCGATCATTCCTGCCTGGTGCAGTGATAGTGATGCCGACGATGAGGGCAATACTGATGGTGATGGGGACGGTGATGGAGACAGGGTGGAATATTTATTCCCCATGGCTGCAGCAGGTTGATGAGACGATAACGCCTGGCAAGGGGGTACCGAAGAGGATTGGGAGCAGTGGGGGACGGGGAGAGGGTGGAGTGCTTATCGCTCATGACAACGGCTGGTTGATGAGACGATAATGGCTGACAAGGCGATACGGAAGAGAATCGGTAGCCATGGCCGAAAGGGGGAAGGGTGGGTGAGGGTGAAGAGGGTAAGGGAGGAAAGAGGGGTGAGGGGGACCAGGAGGGTGAGGTAGAGGCGGGATGGTCCCCGGAGTGGGGGTCTTGCAGGTGGGGCTTACAAGACAAGAACACCTCACAACGCTCATACTTTGAAGCTACCTTACAATATTCGATACGCAGTGATTGTCATGACGCGGATCCTCCCTAAACTTCAGCAATCTCTCTACAGTCCCACTTTTGTAAGGTCCCCGCTTATTTGCCTAACGCTTTAACGAGATCCTAGTAGACTGCTCTGGGTTCCTAGAATTCACAAAAACCACCTCGTCACTTCTGAAACGACTACCTTACTTGCCTGGGTGTGGGTCCTTGCACGGACCCCTAACTTCCCTAGAGCCCTTTCTCCTTTGGATCGCACCTCCGGTTTCGACCGAGGATCTTTGCAGGCTATAGGGTGGGCGTGGGTCCTTGGACGGGCCCACACCCCCGCTAGAGCCCTCTCCTCTTTGGGTCGCACCTTCCTTCTCAGCCCGGGTTCTTCGTGGGCTCTAGGGTGGGTGTGGGTCCTTGCACGGACCCCTACCTTCCCTAGAACCCTTTTTTCTTTGGGTCGCACCTCCGGTTTCGACCGGGGATCTTTGCGGGCTATAGGGTGGGTGTGGGTCCTTGGACGGGCCCACACCCCCGCTAGAGCCCTCTCCTCTTTGGGTCGCACCTTCCTTCTCGGCCCGGGTTCTTCGTGGGCTCTAGGGAGGGTGTGGGCCCGTGCAAGGACCCACACCCACCCTAGAGCCCACGAAGAACCCCGGTCGAGAATGAAAGCGTGACCCGAAGAATAAAGGGCTCTAGGGAGGGTGTGGCCCCGTCCAATGAACCACACCCACCCTAGAGGCCACAACGAACCGGACCCCACTCATCCATGGTGGCCCGGTCCGGATCCATCCCATCCAGGGTGGTTCGGACCGGACCCATCCCACCGCTCTGCGGATCTGGCTAGCACGACATGGAGCATCTTGACATGCCAACAGTGAAAGCATGATAGATTACCAGGTTGGAGACACGTGGCAACAGGTGCGCTTGCCACGTAGAAAACTGCGACCCGAATCAGAAATGCAACGGCGGACAGTGTGGCGGAAGATGTGGCGAGCGTCACGGCTCTCGCCAGCTGCCGCTCTCGTGCTGCCGCGTGGCGGAACATGACATCGAGAGACGACTAGCCGTAGGCCCTACTAAAAGGCACCACTTTGTCGGGTCGCCTGTCCACGATACCAACGCATGCACTTCTAGGAGCATGCGATACGGCTTGTATCATTCAAGGGCATCACACTCGGTTGGCTTCGTAGGGATATGAGAGTGGCGAGATAGACTACAGTACACATGATGCTCGTTTGAGCCACTCCCGGTTGCCTTGTGAAGGGGGCTTATAAGCTACACTTGCATTTCATGGGGGGTTCGTATGTTTCGTTACACCTTAAATGTGCTTCAAATCTGACAATGGTAACCACCCCTTTAATCTGTTCCGTAGCAGTAACGGCTGGCCATTCTTGTCATTAGTGTGGGTTTTTGGTTACCACATGTTTTCATGAACAATTGATTTTGCCACATCATAAAAAATTCAACTTAGTGAAAAACATACACTCCACTCCAACCACCAATGATGTGCACCCACATAGCTCACAATTTCATTGCCAGCATGTTACGAAGCACCCACAAACGTCCACAAGGTGTGAACATTCATGCACAGGATGGAGCCCTTGGCTCGTGAGGGGGGCTCAAAATTCCCTCATAGACGCATCCATTCTGCCGCGTCAGTGTATCCGCCCATCACGGCGGTCACACTGGCATCCAGCAGCTGTTGGCGGCGGGAAGGCTGGGTCATCCACCCAGGCAGCACACAACCGCGTGGACGCGAGGTGTCGGGCGTGGGTGTTGCGCCCGGCGTGCGCGCGGCCGGTAGGGTCACGTCGAGATTGATGGGCGGGCTCGTCCGCTCCATCCGCTCGATGATAAGCGGATTGCGAATGTCGAACAGGGGGCACAGGTTGCGCGGCGTGATGCATGTAGCGCGCGCATAGCCTATAAGCATCTCGCACGCTGCCCGTGCCGTACGCCGCGCTTCATGGCCCACGGGGTCGCTATCCTCGTACACAGCTTGCATGGTGGTGGGCGCCTCCCACATTTCCACCACCATGCCCGCCAGCGGGCCCTCGGCGGTCTCGACGAACGTCGGCTGACCGTCGTCGATGGCGACATACTCAGCAGCGGGCATCGCGCTGGGCCCGATACCGAGGCCCGAAATGAGATTCCCGACGTCTCCTATCTCATCATCGAGCTCGATCTCGGGATAGGCTGACGGGGTAGGCTCGTCGTCGTGCACATGCGGCAGCTCCATGGCCCATGAACGCGAGAAGCATCCCGTGCACCACCAGCACCGCAGGATGGTGCGTGGACCGACGCTCGTCCACGCGTCCGACAACCACGCCAGCACGTCGCGCAGGTTCGGGCGAAACCGCGCAGCGGCGCTTGTGGCGCCGTCCGCCGCCCACAGAGCAGTGAAGGCCCGCAACCAGTGCTGGCAGTAGTGCGCCTTGGCGGTGGCGATGATCCCTTGGTCAAGGGGCTGGGTGAAGGCGATGGTGTTCGGCGGCAGGAAAACAAGCCGGATGTTGCTCAACACGGTCGTGCGGAAGCCGAGAAGGAGATTCACCACCGCGCATCACACCAAACAAATACTCACGGGAGCCGTCATCCATCCATTAGTGCTGTTACGCCAGTAGCAAAGGGTGTTGGGGTCGTAGTCCGGCCGAAAGTCATGAGGGCGCTTCGCCTTCGAAATGACCAACGGACGGAACGCGTGGATGCCGTCGGCATTGACGAGAAAGGCGATGGTGAGGCGCTCCTTCGATATCTTACGGCCGGGAATGCGGCCGTTGCTGTAAGTACGGCGCAGGAGCACGGACAACCACAACGTCGTCTCGTCGAGGTTGTAAGTGTCCCGCGGCCTGGCGGAGAGATGCATTAGCAGTTGGGGGAGCTTCTCCTGGCAGTTGCGGACGGCGGCAATGTCCGCGCTTGCAGCCTCACCGACCGCTGCGCGGCACCTCACCCCTTGGCGCCGCAAAGCACGGCGCACCTAGCCAATGGAGCAACGAAACGTGGGCGGGATACCCATGTTTCGCGCCATTGATGCGACATGGTCGCGAATAGTCTGCAGGGTCAACGGCACGCCGGCGGGCCCCGCGTTAGATATCCAACGCGCCATGGCCTGCTCCAGCACAGGGTAGGCGCCTCCCCGCCGGCGGATTGGGTTGTCATGCGTCGTTACCACAGCCCAGCGTTCGGCACCTTTTAGAGGGCGACTGATGGTGGACCGTTCCAGGCGAATGCCATACTGGGAGAAACACCACCTCGCCAGGTCAACGTGACGCAGACGAGGGTTCTCGACATGGTGCAGGCAGATGGCGCGCTTAATGTGCACCGGGAGCTGCGCACGGCGGTAGAGGGGAGGCATGGTGAAGTTGTCAAGAACTAACGAGCAGGAATGAGTTCACTAGCAAGGAATCGAAGTACAAGTACCAACCTTAAAAGTGTTGTACTCTATACAGGCTACCCCACTACAGCCTTCAAACATATAAATCAGATTTGACACACCCCCATAGGCAAGTGGGGGAGAACCAGCGGTCACAAGACCAGTCAAGAAAACAAAGAAAGCTCAGGGTGGATCACGAAGTCACCACACACTATGAGCACAAGCAAATGGCCACAAGGCCGGTCCACATGCAGAGTTATATAAAAGATTGCAAATAGTACAGTGATCACTACCTAGCAAGAGTAAGCATGTAGGTATAAGTATATAGATCACAGTACAAGCAAAGTCAAGAAGTGAGCAAGTGAGGCCAAGTAGGCACAAGGCCTAAAACAGTACAGAAACGCTGATGATCACAAGGCTGAAGTGCCTTGGTGAAGATATCAGCAGTGTTGGCCCGAGTAGCCACGTAAGCAAGACGAAGCTGACCACGTTGCTGCAACTCTCGAGCAAGGAAGTAACGCAGAGCGATGTGCTTCGTTCTGTGCTCCAGTCTGTACTCCTCATACAAGGCAATCATGGCCTTGTTGTCTACGTACAGAACTGGAGGAGAACTAGGCCGCTCTCCCAAGAAGGTCAGCAGGTAGGTGAGCCAGCGTAACTCCTGTGCAGCCATGGCCCCTGCGTAGATCTCAGCCTCACAACTGGAACTGAGAACAGAAGACGAACCGGTAGACCGCCAAGAAACAGAACCGGAGCCAAGGCTGAAAGTGTAACCCTGTGACGACCGCTTCGTAGCCAAGTCGTCAACCCAATACGCGTCAGCGTGGCCAGTGAGAACAACTCGACTCCGTCCTCCAAGCACGAGCCCCATGCCCGACGTACTGCACAAGTAGCGTAACACCCTCTTAGCGACCTCCCAGTGCTCTCGTCTTTGTCTCCCGGGCACAACGTAGCGTGCCGGGATGCTGAGAGGGTAAGCAATGTCAGGTCGAGTGCAGGTCATCAGGTACATGAGGCAGCCCACAAGCTCTGGATACGGGCCACTCGGCTCTACGGACTCGTCCAAAAGGTGGAGCTGAGAGCGAGTAACCGGTAGGCAGAGGAGTGGACTGTGGCGAGGACCAAGTGAAGTCGAAGCGCTGAAGGACCTGCTGTACCGTGTGTGACTGAGTCAGTGTGATGGTGCGGCGTGCTCTGTCCCGGGTGATCTGCAAGCCAAGATAGCTGCGCAACTCACCCAGGTCTGTGCACGTGTGTCTCTTCTGCAGCTCCGACTTCACTAGAGTTAGTGCATCAGTATCAGTAGTAGCAAAAACCAAGTCGTCGATGTACACGAGGATGTAGAACGGCGGCAGCGAAGTGTCGGTGCGCAGGAACAGCGACGGGTCAGCAGTCGAAGGAGCAAACCCAAGAGCCGCAAGTGTCGTCCTCAGTGTCTCGTGCCACTCACGAGGCGCCTGGCGGAGACCGTAGACTGGCCGCCGGAGGCTCCACTGGGTACCTGCAGGAAACGACCCAGTGAAGCCAGGTGGGCGGCGCAGCCAGATCTCCTCGTGCAGAGTGCCCTATAAGAAAGCTGTGCTGATATCAAGAGAGTGAAGCTCGTAGTCACGCTGAGCGGCGACGTGCAGCAGAACCCGAAGAGTGGTCATCTTCGGGGTAGGGGAGAAGGTCTAGAAGAAGTCAACTCCTTCTCGCTGAGTAGAGCCTCTAGCAACGTAACGAGCCTTGAAGGCAGGCGAAGAACCTGGCGGCCGCTTCACTTTGAAAATCCACATGCCATCGACTATGTTCGCCCCAAGAGGGGGAACTGTGTCGACGTAAGTGCCTGTGGACTTCCAAGATGCCATCTCTGCGTCCATGGCTGTGTGCCACTGTGAGGAGTAGGGACCCTCTATCGCCTCTGCGTAAGAGCGCGAGGTCGGGATGTCTGGTGCATCCAGGTCTCCCTCAGGTGCAATCAGCATGGACACGAGATGAGGTACAGCAGCTACAAAGCACTCAAAGTCCTCCTGCCTGTCCTCAAGGACGTCCGTGCCAAGAGCACACTCACCCCCGACGGACGGAGGACAGTCAGACTCAGACTCAGCAACAAGACTAGCGGCGTAGTCGGGACGACAACGAGCAACAAAGTCAACAAGCTCAGCAACTAGGGCAGACGCAGCAGTGGACTCAAAGGAAGGGTCAGTGACAACAGTGGCTCGGAGTGTGAATTTACGATGCAGAAGCTGCATCAATGTGAACGTTTTATCTTGTGTTGCCTTGTTGCTAGTTGCAAGCGCGGTCCCTGTTCGCAGAGGCATTTGGAGACATTCGTGTCAGGTTAATTTCATGCATCTGCCTTGAACAGCCGGGAGGGCTATCTTGTAACCACACACCACAATGTCTGACGTGGGTGGCCCAAACAACGCTTGGTTGCTAATGCGCCTGTACCGAACAAATACAAGATACACGTGGCAGGGTGAACATGTTTGATTGTCTTTTACATGCACCCTGAACCTTCCTTAGTTGGCAGGGAGCATCGGGCGAATGCGTTCACGAAGCAGACGACGTTTCGGTCACATATTTGGCATGTATGACTTCTAGCCTAGAGACAAGGCAAACCAGGGTCGGCCTGCCTTGTTCGGGACTGCACATGCAGATTTTGTTGAAGCGCGTGCACTGTGCTCTGCTATGCAGGTGACTGTACCGTGGGAGCAACTTCCCGGGATGAAAACTGTCAAACATTATATGTTTATATTGTGTAGGCTATAGTGGGTTTAGCCTTAGGGGGTACAGCTTTGTTAGGGTTTCCTACTTGTATCCCCCTCCTACCTAGTTTCATCCATTCTCGTTCTATTCTAGATTCTAACATGGTATCACGAGCCTAGGTTGCTACCTAGGACCGCTTTCTACTATGGGCCCACTATTCCGCTAGAAGCGCCCTCGTGCGCCCTACCTTACGTGCGCCCTCGTGCGCCTTTCTCTGCTAGTGCGCCTTCGTGCGCCCTCGTGCGCCCTCGTGCGCCCTCGTGCGCCTTTCTCTGCTAGTGCGCCTTCGTGCGCCTTCGTGCGCCCTCGTGCGCCCTCGTGCGCCTTCGTGCGCCCTCGTGCGCCCTCGTGCGCCTTCGTGCACCCTCGTGCGCCCTCGTGCGCCCTCGTGCGCCCTCGTGCGCCCTCGAGCGCCCTCGTGCGCCCTCGAGCCGCCCCTGCAGGTCCGTCAGGCCCCCGAGCCGCCTCTGCAGACCCGTCAGGCCCCCCCCGAGCCGCCTCTGCAGGCCCGTCAGGCCCGAGAGCCGCCCCTGCAGACTCGTCAGGCCCGCGCGCAGCCTCTGCCCGACCGCGCGCCGCCCCTGCAGGCTCTCGCCGCCCGCCGCGTCGCCCTGCCCGCGGCGTCGCCGCCTGCCCGCGGCGTCGTCACCTGCCCGCGACGTAGCCCCTGCCCGCGGCGTCGTCGCCTGCCCGCGGCGTCGTCGCCTGCCTGCGGCGTCGTCGCCTGCCCGCGACGTAGCCCCTGCCCGCGACGTCGTCGCCTACCCGCGGCGTCGTCGCCTGCTCGCGGCGTCGTCGCCTGCCCGCGGCGTCGTCACCTGCTCGCCGCGTCGCCCTGCCCGCGGCGTCGCCACCTGCTCGCGGCGTCGCCCTGCTCGCGGCGTCGTCACCTGCTCGCCGCGTCGCCCAGCCCGCGGCGTCGTCACCTGCCCGCCGCGTCGCCCTGCCCGCGGCGTCGCCACCTGCCCGCCGCGTCGCCCTGCTCGCCGCGTCGCCCTGACCTAATCCGCGCCTGGCCTCTGGAGCAGCCGCCCCTGCAGCAGCCGCCCCTGGCCACTGGAGCAGCCGCCACTGCAGGAGCCGCCCCTCGCCCCTGGAGCAGCCGCCCCTGCAGCAGCCGCCCCTGGCCCTGGAGCAACCACCGCTGCAGCAGCCGCCCCTGGCCCCTGGAGCAGCCGCCACTGCAGCAGCCGCCCCTGGCACCTGGAGCAGCTGCCGTCGCGGCCCGGCCTCGCCCTGCAGCAGCTGCCGCGGAGCTCCCTGCTGCGGCCCGGCCCCGCCCTGCAGTTGTAGCGGCCCCGCTGTCGCCACCGTCTTGCGCCTGCCGCGCCGACCACTGGTGAGCATTGCCCTGCCAGCACTGCTACCGCTGCTACTACTGCTACTGCCTTTTCTACTCCCACTGCTACCGCTCCTGCTGTTACTGCTGTTACTGCCGCTACTGCTGCTACTGCTGCTCCTGGCGTGGCCAGATGCAGCTCCAGGGCCGTGCGCGTGAGTCCCTCACGCCCCAGCAGCTTCGTGAGTGGTACGCTAGTTGGGGCTGTCGGGGTGGCCGTAGTGGTAGTCGCTCTGGAGTGGGTCGGTCGGGAGCTTCTGGTAGTGGACAGGTGCAGCTGCCGTGTCCTCTTTCGCCCCAGCAGCTTTGTGCGTGGTACGCTAGTTGGGGCTGTCGGGGTGGCCGTAGTGGTAGTCGCTCTGGAGTGGGTCGGTTGGGAGCTTCTGGTAGTGGACAGGTG